CCCCAAAACCCCAAAACCCCAAAACCCCGCTTTGTCAAAATACGACTGAATTTTACCAAATTTTAGAGGGATTTCACCTAATTTTACTCACAACTTAAATTAGAGAACCTCGATCTTGTTGGTTCCTTCCTGTATTAGTACCTCTTGGGTTATAAGAGGGGGTCCTATACACCCAAACTTCCTTTTCCCAAGGAGGTCTCAATCTTTCAATGAGATCTTTATCTTGCTTGATTTTAGTAAGCCTGCGAGGTAAGTTAATTCCTTATCAGTTAGATCAAACTTCACCAGTCTTATAGTCTTTAAAGGAGTTTTGAGCAGCAACTTCAAAGAAGATGAAAACTCTGAAAACACAACTCTCTCGTCTTCCCTTTCGTTCTTTATAATTAGGTCGTGGCAGAGTTTAGAGGCCAAGCAGTGGCTGACGAAGGATTGGAAGGTTGATTTGTGAGTGTTGGTTAGATGCAAGGTTACCAGATGAGCTTCGGTGAATTTTTCTTTGGCCTGAACCAATTCATTCATAAACACATTATTGATATGTTCAGGGACATCCGAAGTAGAGCATGAGTAGATATCCTTCATAATAATTCCAAACAGACATGATCCAAAGGGCTTCGAGTAAGTTGAGGATTCATTATTTTTAGAAGAAGACCCAAATAAGCCTAGACTTGATTTAGGATTGAGTTCATTAACCTTATTATCAGAAGCATTATTTTTCTCTGAATCTTTTTTAGGATGAGAAGAAAACAGTCTTTCTGACTTATTTTCCTCTTGAATAGAAGCACTTTTGGACTTTCTCTGTCCAAATAGTCCTCTTGAGAGTATTTGTGAAGCAGACAGCTCTTTTACTTTACTTCTATCCTCTGTAGGTATTTTAAACTCCTGATTAAAACCCTCATTTGTTTCCTTTATTGTATCAGATACTTTTTCTTCTTGGACTTGAATCTGTATCTGCTTGAGTCCTATCTGCATGAAACAGCAGCTCATTACTTCCTTGATTTCAGGTTTCCCTGAAATCTTGGTCTTAATCTGATCAAGCTTGGCTTGATACTCTTCAAATTTTAAGAACTCCTTATACCTCACAGCTTTGCTAATCTCCTCTTTAACTTCCTCAAACTCTTTCTTGATCCCATCAATAGCCTCTCTAAACTTCGGAAAGTCGTCTTCCAGATCAAACTGCTTGCATTGAGTCTCAGTGGTTCTAATTAACTTGTCCAGACTCATAGATTGATACTCAAGCTCCTTCACATCAACAATCATCTGCACTTTACACTTAAAATGCTGATCCGACCTACACCAGCCTCAAATAGCTTTCTTATGGTCACAACAGTACTGGGTGCTGGTCTTGTCACAATTCTGACTAACACAGGTAACTCACATAATTACCGGAATAAATTAAAATATACTAAAATTTGCAATATTTTCTTTTTTTAAAGGGGTTTTGGGGTTTTGGGGTTTTGGGG